CCCCCCCCACCCACACACACAAACCTGATGAGGGCGGAAGATAGACAAAGATTTACAGACAGGACAAATCAAAAACATATCTCGACCTCTGACCACCACCACACACACACACACAAAATATCCTGACAGACAAGGACAAACAGTTTCCACCACACACACAATTCTGACAAAGACAGAGGGCAAAACAAGGACTTACAGTTACTACCACACGCTCACACATACACGCACAAAATACTGACGAGGACAGAGGAAAGCCAAGAACTTACAGTCGCCACCACATACACACACAAAATCTTGATGAGGACAGAGGAAAGCTAAGAACTTACAGTCATCACCATACGCCCACACACACACACATGTACACACACACACGCACACGGCGACAAGGGCAGAGGAGAGACAAGAACTTACAGTCGCCACAACATCGTCCACCATCTGCAGCTCGGCCAACAGACCACCGTCCGAGGTGAGGCTGGAATTGAGGGAAGAAGAAAAGCTGGAGCCAGGGCTGAGACGATTGAGGAATGAATCAGCATCCAGGAGTCGATCCTGAAGGGAGGCAAACGAGGAGGGCAAGGACTGGAACAACGACGAGCTTGTCTTGATATCAAAAGCCTGGAAAAAAGGGAATAAAATACACAATGAGAATTTTTTTTTAATGAAAAAAGAATTATTCTTTTTTTCCTACAATGTCAAAGCCTGCAACTTTGGCAAAAGCCTGAAGCCTCTATGCTTGCACAAATCAATGTAACCCTTTTGTTGCCCCATGACCTACCTGGTACTTCACAGTTATTATATAATATATGCCCAATTTGGAGCTTTTGGATTGTGCCATACCATGGATGGCAAAGAATTTGGTCAAACTTGCCGTTCTTAGTTTCCTACAGGACGTTTCATGCACGACCCACTAATCATCTGACTCTTCTGTAGGGAAAAAAAGCCATATGTACAATATGGGTTCATATTCAAGAAAAAAGAATTATCAACGCAGTACAAGAAATTCTGTTTCAGTTGCTGTCCTGAGGTATACTGGAAACTGCCAATTTACACCATTTGTTGTTTGTGCTTTTCATCACGTTTTTCAATCAAACTCAAACAGAAAAGTGTTTTTGAATTAAGATAAAAGGCGTGGAGCCAAAAATTAAAAATTCGATAAAAATTTTCAAACGGACGGAAAAATGTCGGGTTTTTTTCGATTTCATTATTTTGACGCCTGATTCCACAACGCTGTGACACATGTAAAAGAAAAAATCTGGGACTGGAAAAAATCTGTTCACTATGTGCAAGCTTAAGTGTATCCTCATTAGATAAAGCTCACTGACCTGGTTGGCAGAGGCCAACTCAAGCATGAGAGGATCCTGGTCCAGAAATTTCCGCTGCACTCGGTTCATCAACAGCTCTGTCTTCACATACGGGACATCCTGCATCAAAGACAGAAAAACAATTTTAATTGTTGACAAAACAGGAAAAGCGCCAGCCCAAAAGTTCCGACCACAAACACAGCCTGTGAGATTAAGTATAGAAAAGAAACATTTGTCAAAGGAAAACATGAAACATTTAACATCAAAAGAAACAATACATTTACTTTTTGAACTTGTTAAAAGTCAACAGCTGCTCTTGGACAAGTTTGACAAGGATCATCAGAAAGTCATTATGAAAACCACGAGGGAAAAGGGGACAGACCAGTCTTTGTTACAAGAAGGCATGGAGTTCCTCATTGCCACGACTGGCATATGTTCAGTTAGAAATAGGGCGCTCCAGTGGTTCACAGAGGAAGGAGTTCAAACTCACAAGTAATGTCAAGCAAGTGTCGGTGACATGGGGTTTAGGTTGGTGGTCACTGGGGTGTGTTCTTGAGCAAGACACGACACGGACAACATTATCTAAAAAAAAACCCAGGGCGCTGGACGGTGGCGACCAGCAAAGGCATGTTGGTGAAATTGTTCTGTAATGGTGAGATAATATTGTATATTTATGTATACATGTATTTATGTATGCATTTACGTATGTTCTGTATTGGTGGAATATTGTATATTTATGTATATGTATTTATGTATGCATTTACGTATGTTCTGTATTGGTGGAATATTGTATATTTATGTATGTATTTTTTATGTATATTTGCCACTGTAACCTCAATTTACCAAACAGGATTGATAAAATGGAATCTATATCTATCGCTATTTATATTAATTTTCCCAAATTTTGTTTCTAATCTTTCCTGAATGCCAGAAAGACATGATCAATAGGTTCTCGGTCATTTATAAGATGGTGGCGGATCAACTCACCCAGTCCAGAGCAAAGCTAGCCATGCTGTTGACAGGAAGTGATTGCTCCTTGTGCGTAGCCACAGTGATCAGGACATTGGCCTTGGGCCTCTTCAGCAAAGATTTGGTCTGCATGGCTGGACTTTTCTGAAGGTCAAACAAAATGTTGATGAGTCATAACTTACAAGTTAAAGTTATACAACACAACACATCAGTCTGACAAAGGTTATACAACACAACACATCAGTCTGACAAAGGTTATACAACACAACACATCAGTCTGACAAAGTAGGTCATACAACACAACACATCAGTTTGACAAAGGTTATACAACACAACACATCAGTCTGACAAAGGTTATACAACACAACACATCAGTCTGACAAAGGTTATACAACACAACACATCAGTCTGACAAAGTAGGTCATACAACACAACACATCAGTCTGACAAAGGTTATACAACACAACACATCAGTCTGACAAAGAATAATATATATATATATATATATATGGGCAATTCTCTTGTAAACTATAATATATAATAAACAAAACTCTGTGGAATGTTGCAAACCATAATTCTACAATTAAAATCAAGGTACAGTAAAAGAAAAAAATTGGTTTAATGAACACCATTTAATTAATGCTTAAAACGTACAAACGGACATAACGTTCATTTATTGAAGCCCCAAGTCCCATTGTATTTTTCCCTACTTTTGGCTCATACACGACGGTATAACTATAACTCGGCTAAGACGTTTAAAATATTAAGTCAGAAGGAAGTACGTGATATGATGGTTCAAAGATATTCATGTTTCCAAATTTTCACCTCTGACAAATAAACAAGTAGGCTCTAAAGCGCTTATTAAATAACTGTTATGAACGTTCAAATATTAAAAACTTACTTTATTACTCAATCCCAGGGGGCCGGCCAGCACATTGTGAAGGTCGCTGGAGGGCAGAGCTGAATCTCCTTCCTGGCTCTGCAGCACCACGTAGGAAGGGACATGCTTGACATGCAGCTGCTGGCCCTCACAGACAGCCACTGATGGTACAGTCAAAAAGAGAGAATTACAGTAACAATGCAAGCAGCAAATCAATCAAAAAGATGATAACAGGAGGAAAAGAATGTGCACCAGTAGAAGCTGAAACATCACGTGTGTTTGGCAAGAGAGCAGTAGCAGGAGTAAATTACACAGGTTGGAACATGTTTAAAATTACATATTACAAGAGTATGTTATACTTCTATTGTCATCAAGAAGCATTCTTTCATTTTGCTATTCTCACCCGCTTTTTTTTCGCGCCTTTTTATTTCGTTTCGGGCATCATCTAAGGACCCCTGTCACTGGGCGACAAGACTCGCCTCCCTCTCTCACTCCGCCAGGCCACTATTGTTGATTTAGGGGAAAACCTTATCTTTTGAGCAAATGGCGTCACATTTTCTTGTTATTTATACGTTCTGTAATGGAAAATTGTACTCTTGAATGGTTTAACCAATCAAAATTAAGAAAAAAATAAGTCTAGTGTCAAGGCACCGAGTGCCTTAAAAATAATTGTGGGTTCTGTTAGGGATAACATGTGTTATTGTGTTGTAAACAAATGCCAATTCTAACATTACAATGACAAACTATTAGCATACTAACATTATTTCATTAGCAATGACCGCGAAAATCCTTTTTTTGCCAGAAAGTGTTTGCAAATAGGTGCATTTTGTAGCTTTATCTTCACAGAGCATGGAACTTTTTGAATTTTTGAAATCCACCAATAAACAAAAAAGTTATGGATTTTTTAATCAATTAATTTCTGGTACACTTTATGAAAAAAACCCAAAATATGGGACGTTCTTTGGTGAGTTTTGAGACAATATTCGTCACAACTCGCTCATTTCTCTTGAGTATTTAAAAGAAACTTGGCAACCCAGTACATTTTCTAGTGCAGAATCTAGTCCTGCTTTCAGATTTTTCATAGCTATCCTATTTTTTGAGTTATGAAGACGTTTGTAGGTAAAAATGTGGCGGTTTTCAGTGCGTTTTGAGACCATATTTGTCATACCTCGCCTATTTCTT